CTTTGTCAAGACAACGGGTAATGACAGGGCAGCCATCAGACTGGTTAAGATTGTACTTGCTAGAACTTGTTGCAGACCTTGTGTCAGAGCCTAGGAAAGGTTAGTGAGGATGAAAAAAGGGACTGAAAGGGACTGCAACAAACCTCCGTAGCGAGAATGTTGATCGTGTCACCCATACTCCTCAACATTTCCGGTTCCCAGTAGACAGAGTACAAATCGCCCATGATGGGATCCACGGTGCTGAATGGCAAACGGACGTCGTCAACTTTGCCCGTCATCCATCCGGCCACCGTGACGACGAGATGCACCCTCTTGTTGTTGTGCAGCGGCCGATATTCGAATGTCTTGACGGCTCCTGTCCTCCTGTTTGCCGCTCGGCCACCGATAACGCTACCGGATGCCGCGGCACTGGATGTGATGATGGCAGCTCCGCCGACTCCTCCGAGGAATGTAGATGTACCCGTCACTCCAATGGTCGTGAATCCGGCAGCCAAGCCAGCGCCAATGACAGGAGCGAGGAGACCTGCCGAGAGGCCAATGACCAGACCACCACCCACGGTAGCCAACCCCATCATCATGTAGCGCTTCTTGAGAGCTTGTTTCCTTCGATGCTCCATGTGCTCGTCCTCGTTCCAATTTTCTTGCTCTGCGGCCTGCTGCATCTCCAGCGCGTCCGTCACCTTTTTTTCAAACTTTCTAACATCCAACCAGTCGATTTGAAGACTCTTGCCGACCCGCTCTAAAAGAATTCTTGATCTGCAATCGTACACCGAATCGGCAATCAAAAGAAGAAACAGGTCGCACAGCACCGTCCAACGCAGGTCGATGTCGATTTTATCCGAGGTAACCATTTGGGCTGGTGTCTTGACAGGAGGTAGCTCCTCTCCTTCGTGCGCTTCGTACGGCGGTGGCGCTTCGGCTGCTTTCTCGTTCTGGGAGAGCGCGGGAGAGGGGGGCCCCATACTCCTCGGCGAGGTAACGGAAAGCGAGCTACGGGATTCCCTTGGCGATGTGACGGAGAGAGAGCTGCGCGACTCGTTTTCATCCTCGGCCATGGGGTTCTTGACACGGGCGTTGGCCATCAAAATCGGAGTCAAGTCCGACGGCACCACGCCGTGGTCACTGAGTTGTTCAACCATGATCTGCTCGGCGGAGCTGATGTCCATGTGTGTGTAGAGACGGATCATCATCTTCTGACCCCACATCTTGGTCGCTTCGGCCGACATTGTGACGTCCTTCTTTGCGCTCCTCGTGTGCTCGACACTCTCGGCTTCCTTGACCATGTTGTGAATCTCCAGTCTCGTCAGCCCCACGTAGGCGATTCTCTGTCCTTCCGTCAGCAGGTCCTTGGTCGCCTGCATCTGAGAGACGGCATCGCGGGCCTCGCTATCGTCTTCGCCGATACTCGTGCCATTCACTTCCTTGAAGAGGTATTGGGTATTATCGTCCATGCTGGTGGCCGATTCGGCATCGTCGTCCATAATTACTCGGGTATATCCCTTTCCTGCACCACCAAGTCCGCCGTAGCCGTAGGTCTCGTCAACTTCATCGGCCTTGAACTCCTTTGCGACCAGTCTATTGTCATCGTCATAAATATCGTACGGGGCGAATGCGGGCATCGTTTGCCAGTCACCGTCATCGTTGTCATCGTCCTCCTTCTTGTCGGACGTCAACTGTTGATGGGAGAATTCGGAGACGCCGACATTGCTGGCATTGCTCTGGTCTCTCTTGTGCTGCCCTTGAGGAGAAGGAGGCTCTGCCACCTTGGGCCCGGGTTCGTCTGCCTTGTCGACGAGCTTTGCAGGTGATCTTGGCTGCTGCGGCTCGGGATCGCTGGGCTTGGTTTCTGATGCCGTCTTCTCTGACTCCTTTGGTTCGGTCCTATCGGTTTCACCATTTGTTGTGACACCCTCCTCCTTGCTCTCGCTCTTGGTTGTTGCTGAAGCTTCTGTTGTTGATGGCTTCTCCGTACTGCTCTTGGCGGAGACCGCCTCTTCGGCTTCGACTTTGGTCTCTCCCTCGACTTCCTTAATTGCTGGAACTTCCTGGCCTTTGGCCTTTTCTTCATCCGTTCCGGTTGTCACATTCTTGTCCTTGGCCTCGTCTTTGTCCAAATTTGAAGTTACAGGGGTAGATGGTGTATTCGAGGTCGCTCCGGAGGCAGCGGCCGTAGCCGGCTGCTCGGATTGAGCGTCTTTGAACTCGTCATCGTCGCTTTCCGACTCGCCGCCTTTGCCGTTTACTTCCTTCCTCGCTGAAGCAGCCGTATCGTTGCTTGCGTCTGTTGCATCCTGCCCAGCGTGGAGCGGCTTCGGTTGGGACTCGTTCGGTTCGGATTGATCGTCGGTCGTCTGATCGGTCTCTTGGGGCGGCGGTGACACGTATCGTCTGATGGGTAGGCCGAAATCGTCCACCTCGGGCATGTCGCTCGTCATGGCCGCAGCGGCAGTTTGCTTTTGCGTAGATGCAGGTGCAGTTGCAGTCGCGGTTGCGGTTGCATCTGGTGCACGAGTGCCATTCGGTAGCTGGCCAGCTGCCTCCGTATAGGCAGCGGGAGCGGCGGCGGCGGTGGCTGTAGTCGAAGAGGGGTTGTTGGTGTTGGTGGTTGTGGTGGCAGACTCGTCTGAGCCCGCCATGTTGAGATGTTGTGTATTGCCTGTTAGACAAACATGCGAGCTGTTGTCTCAATGTGCCAGAAAAAGATCCAGGTAAAGAGGCCAAGGCAAGGGTGGGCAGCCTCTTTTTTCCCTTTTGTTTCGGGTATTGGAAAACGAATGGGTCGCGGGCTTATGCCGGGTTGGAGTAAGGTAGGTAGGTATCCGTAGGGGACGACGCGCAATACCTTGAGCCAGTGGAACGAAAGCGAACTAGAGACTCCGTAAAGTGGCTGAGATTAGAATTACTGTGGGATATGTTTTCCAGGCGTGCCGAACGCGCAGTTTCCGTGAGGTAAGGTACTCAGATGTGCTAGGTAACTTTTGAGGAATCGAGCCATGCGCACATCCAACTGGAAGCCAAATTGATGGACCTGGGGCGTCTACGTGTGTTTCCGTGTGTCTGAGTTCTGAGTCCGACAGGGTGCTTCTTTCGCAAAGGGGGCCCGCGGGCTTGAAAGGGATGATGAAGAAAGTCCCGTCGTAAGGTAGGTTGTTGGCGAGTTTGATGGTTGATTTGGTTACTCCATCAGGGGAACAGTAAGCCAAACATCAAATCCCCCCCAATTGCGCCCCTCAGCCCCCCCCAATGACGATCCGCTAGAGTGCCGCGACTGCCATTCCCTGTGGGGACCGAACAAGCCATGCGAATTGGAGAATGTCAGTGCTCACTGAGGTGGCTGTCAGATCGAGGGACATTGGCTCACCGCCCAACACACCACGACAGTGACCGTTTCAGCGGTCGAGAGCTCTGACCTCTGACCAGCCCTGCCGCCCCTCCAAAAGGCATCACACTGAACCTCCCAGTACCTCCTATGGCAAACTGACGACAGTAGGAGGCCTGTGAATCGTAGAAGGGGGGCCCTAGCTGCGATAGTATCGTCATTCGGCTTTCACACACAATATTTTGGTGGTTGTCAATGTGTTGTCGCATCACCTCAGATAAGCCATCCTCCAGGAGGGAACACCACCGAGTTCCCGTCCTACCAGCGTACACTAAGACCTTCAAGCGTAATCCCCCATTATCCCGTAGGTAGCAAATCAAGGGGTCACATTCGAGGTGCCAGCAATTTCAAAAACCATCAGTTCATGAGACGATTCAGAAACACATGTACTCGACGATCCTCCCGTACGGGTGTACCTCGCTATAGCAAGAATTCCCCATTAATTTGGTATCTCTGAGCTTTTGTTGTACCTTCTACATTCCAATCATTTTAATAAGCCCCCACCCGAAAACGCCCTTTTGGTATGCAATATCGAATCCCTACGAGCTTTCCGCTGCCGCTTGCTCTGTCGACGCCTCACCCTGGTTCGCAGCAGGCGTACTCGACGAGTCCGCCGCATCGCCAGCGGCCTGGCCCTTGTTCCGTCTTCTGCGCTTCTTCTTCGCCGGGCCTTCTCCCTCTCCCTCGCCTCCATCCGCCGCGGCCCGCGCTTCCTTTGCTTCCTTGTGCGCCGCGTCGCCGCCGTTCGTGGCCCTCTTCGCCTTCTTGACCGCCAAGGGGTTCGGTCCCTTGCGTCCTCTCTTCTTGTCCTTCTTCTTTTGCTCTTGGGCGCCTGCTCCGGCCTTGCCCTCCTTTCCGCTTTCATCGTCGTCGTCCTCCTCATCCTCCTCGCGCTTCCTCTTCCTCTCAGGCCTGACGAGCCCGTCGCGGAACTTGCTCTTCTCTTCCTTGGTCCTGATCGCCACGCTCTCCGTCGCCATGGGCTCCAGGATCATGACCGATCGCTTGATGTAGATTTGCGGGACACCCGGGATTTCGCGGAGCATGCGGCGCACGTCGCCCGACTGGCTCGCGACGCAGTAGCGGTGCTTGTTAACGAGGTTGCTCTTGGGGTCGACGACGGCCTTCATGCACTCCATCGTGCTCAGAGGTTCGGGGTAGTCCTCGGGCAAGTGGCCGCAGCGTCTTCGCTCCAGCGTCTTTGCAAAGTCGATGATTTTGTTCATGTCGGGCTCGTTCTTGCGTAGGTACAGCTTGCGGATCTCGCATTGTGTAATCACTGTTGTGTCCAAATCGTCAGTCTCGAGGCAACTTCCTCCTGATGTTCATTCATGGCATGCTATATACTCACTTGGCTTGACCTTGCCGTGCAGTGTGCGCTCCAGTCCGGCAAGCAGGTCGTATCTGAAGTTGTGGCAGTCGACCACCATTTCGGCGTCGACTAGACATTGGTACGGTTCGCGGAATCCCCATGTCAATTGGTACTGATTCATCAGCTTGCGATACTGCTTGCTACGTTTTCCGCGCATCGTGAAATAGTAGGTGGCGAGGAAAAAGCCCTTGCCGTCGAACGAGAGGGTGGTTGATCTGGTGAACGCAGCAAGATGGTGGTGGAGGCAGATGTTTGCGTTGAAAGTCGCGAAATTTCTTGCTGGAAAAATTGCGATAAGATAAGAGGTCGGGCCCATGAAGGCCGATCTAACCCCACCATGTCCGGCCACGGCCGTGGCCAACGTCACTCGAGCAAAGGTATCACGGATTTTCTGCGGAAACGAACATCGCAAATGGTTCCCTATGCGAAATTGCTAAATCTGAATAATGGATGTATTCAATCAACGGCAAACTTCCCACTGTCCATAGAGTCCTGAATGTCAAAAGCCAAGAAACGCCAATTACCTCCCAAAAGATGGCCACTGTCATCCCGACTTGCATAGGGCGCATGCCATGGTAATTGCAGCCTGCCCCTGCGGGACCTTTTCCGTAAAAATCTATTTCCCATGATTGCCCTATATCGTGGTATCGCCCTCCTCATCATGCATCCTGTTTTCTCACGAGCGCAGCGACGACGCTAATGTCATCGAGTTTGCCTGTTTCCTCGTCAGCCTCAGTGGAATATCACGGCCTGGCGAAGCCGATAACTTACCTCCAACGCTCGGTAGCCCTTCCTCAATGGCATGTTCCATAAACGGGCTTTCCGCAAATGGATCCGTCGCAATCTTCTTCGCGGCCGCGACCAACTCCTCGGCAGCGAGCTTCATACCTCCGTTGGCGCCGCCCGTCCGGTCGCCCTCGACTCTGTCGCCCCCGCACTCCCCATTCTCCCAGCGCTCTATGCTCTTCTGAATGCTGTCAACAATCTCGTGCTCCCACAGGTTGTCAATGACGCCGTCCGACATGGCGAGGACCACGTCCCCGACCTGAATCTCCACAATGTCCAAGACGGCTTCCGTGTTGGGGGTGTCGGGGCTGTTGGTGCCCAGCTGGCGGGGGCAGTCGAACCAGTGCCACTGCTCCTTGGTCTTGTAGACGACCTTTTCGTGCCTGGGTCGGAGGATCATGACTTGGCAGTCGCCGAGGTTGGTGACGTAGACTTGGGGCACCTTCTCGCTGCCTTGTAGAGTCTTGTAGTGCAGCAGCGCTCCGCTCGCCGTCGTGGTGCCTTGCCAGTCGTTCGGGTCCGAAGTCGCTTTCAGGGTCTGCTCATACGCCGTCTGGAGATAGGCTATCGGATCGGGCTTGTAGACGTCTCCCGCAGCGCGAGGGTTGGTGGCTTCTTGCTGAATAGCTGTCGCCCAGTAATGTAGAATCAAACGAGACCAGAGGCTGTTTTTCCGACATCAATATTGGGACGTCCGATCAACGGAAGGGGGGAATTAAAGCACCTACCCAGCATGGCCCCTCGGGCGTGTTGACCAAGCACCGACACCATCATTCGCACAGATAAAGTTGTCGCTGGCGAACACCGCATCGTCTCCGTTTGTCTGTCCGAGGATGATTTGTCCGTCGACTCTCGCGCGCCGATCGCGGCTTCGGTGATGGGTGCTGAGCGGATCGGAGAAGGAGCCCGACGGAGGGGAGAGGAAGGGCGGCGGGAACGGTCGCGGCGCTCGCTTGGCGAAGAGGGAGACGCCGGTCTCGAAGCGAAACGGTTGTTGCGTCTGTGGTGGTGATTTCTGCTCGGAAGAATTTGCTTGTGACGGCGGCGGCGTTGTTGTTGTTGTTGGTGTCGTCGTCGCCGTCGATAGGCAAGCCGCCCTGCTAGGTCGATATCGCTGCGGCCATGATGCTGGAGATGCGCCCTGAGGCACTCTCGGCGGCCGCGCTTTGGAGGGGGGAATCGCCAACAAGGGCCCGGGTAACCTCCTCATTCCCACGTGTGAGGCAGATCAGGCGCCTTTTGCGATGTTGGATCGCAACGAGACGAAATCGCTGGGCCTGTTGCCGTTATCTTTTGGCGCTGAAAGGGTGCCGCTGGAGTGCTGGGCATGGCTGGGATGGATGGGTGGGTGGCCAGGTGGGCTTCGATGTGTTGGTTGGGGGCTCTCCGAACCGGGGGTTAAATTGGGGCGCTACACGTGCAGGCGCGTTTTGGTCCCAGGCTGGTGCATTGGGCACTGGGCTGCAGAGTCGTAGCTGGGAATTAGGAGCTCTGGGCGGCCTTAGAGGGCTGGCACGACTGGGTAGGTAGGTGCAAAAACTCTGAACTTAGGTAAGCACAGTCAAAACACCCCCCACCTCTCCTTTTTATCACCAAAAAGCCCAACATTTAGGTCAACGCTCTGTAAGTAGAAGCGTTGGTTGAGCCACAACATGCTGTTTCTGTAAAAGTGAGGTTGTCACAACTAGGAGCTCCCCTGTCCCGCATTGACCGCATTTTGGAGAGAGAAAATCCCTTCACTAGCATCACCCTTCACGGTACAAGCAAGTAAGCAAGCAGCAAACAAACAGCAAACAAACAGCAAACAAACTGAAAATTCTGACAGAAAACTCTGAAAAGGAGTGCAGCGTGGCGGGCTCCTGACGGGGCTGATAAGTGGCAATTGATGCAACTGCAGAAATCGTTCCATGTAAAAACCGAGCACGCCGGTATTGGCATATCGTAAGAAAATTTAAGCCGTTCCGCATCTTGACCATTAACAGGATACGGAGTAATACCCCCTTCCCTTTAACCTCATATCACTCTCACTCGTCTCCATCGGCATTTCCGGTCAGAGAGAAACGTGATGCACATCCAGTCCCCTGAACTTTGAAGAGGCAAACTTCCGCCTCGGTACGGTCCACGGATGCAAAAACCTGGAAACAGGCTCTGAGGCTCCTCTGTCAACGACAGATCGACATTTCGGGATCGACAACAGCTTGGCCCGGTTTTGGTGGCCGCCGCTCAGCTGCAGCCTCTGCGGGTGTAACATAGCTAAAATAAACACCATGGCTGGTGGCCTGGAACAGGATGGAAGCATGGCATTGGAGCAATTTGCGTCACACTCGAAGCCTGCTGCATCCATTGAGCATGCTGAAGGCGGAACTTGCCTGCTGAGTTGGAGCAGCCATTCGTTGCGTGAGGGGAACAGGATCTCTCGTAATATATACGAGTAAGTAAGCACGCAGGTTGTGCAGGTTCAAGAAGCTGTGATTCTAGAAGTTTGCAATCATTGCCGATCTTTTCTAACAAATAACCTGCGAACCACACAAATGTCAAGGAAACAAACATACGCGCACAAGAGCAACAACAGTTCGGATTGCCGTCTTCTGACGAACCGTTTGGTCTTTGAAAAGTCCATGCTCTCCGGGCCACCGTCTCCCTACGTTTGTCTAAGACCGTAGAGAGTGAACCACGACGCCTGAGACACCCAGCTGGAGCCATCAGGCCCACGATCAACTATGGACTTCATTTACCATGTCTCGCCCTTGCAAGATATTTGCTCGGTAATCACGCATCCAAGAGTCCAGGCCAGCCTTTCCCATCATCCGCGTATCCCAACTCAGCGCGGTCTGTGAACTTTCGTAGGTCGGTAGGGGTGGCCAGAGCCCCCCGTTCACGGTTCACGGTTCACGGTTCACCGGACATGACGTAACGGGGCTGACGCAAAGTATTGACACCAAGAGGTAAAGTAAAGATGGTAAGGCGTGCTCACTCAGCAATCGGGAGGCCGGGACTATCGAGTTTGATGAGCACACGTTATTATTGAGGAGAACACGCCTTGGTTTGCTTCAATAATTTTTCATAGTGTTGTCACTGCCCACGGTCGATCAACGCGCGTCGAGGAAGGATCTGCCCGAGCCGCCAACGAACCCGCCCCGTAGGCCGGGAGTTGTCTCATTTGGCGCCAAAAAGCCACTGTCGAATCCGACTCTTACGTCAGCGCAGTTCGTTCATTGCCAGCCTGTTGTAATCTGTGTCGTTCACCCCTTGTACGGATAGAGCTCAGAGGAGCCAGACTCGATAGGTGGTGACTGAGCCCTGGACGTTGCATTGCTTTAGCTCATCGACACAATAACAACCTAGGCGG